AACAGAAAACCTAACCTAACAAAGAAAACGTCCTTTCGTAAAAAAGCGCAAAACGTCCTTTCGTAAATAAATGTGATAGTGCACGATAGTCGCTAAACAATATGTACAAAACACAAAATTCACTCCAAGAACATAAACGCATATGCAGTTGAAATTACTAATAAATGCGGAGAGCTAATGTCACTCGATCAACACAATTACAGTAATGAATAAAATGGCCACTTGTTTGTTTCCTTGCTAAAACCGTCAGTGTGACCAGTATGCAAGCTACCGGTTATTTATTTTTTTCTATGGTATACATTAGCAATGCACACATGCATAAGTGAGCATGTGTGTAAAGTCGAAAACTCGTCGTAGAAGTTGAGGGACCCTGGTATGGACAGAATGAAATACCTACGGGGGCTGAATTTTATTATTGCCATTTGTCAGATAAATGTCTTGTTTCATAATTAGTAAGATTTTACTAAAGATAAATTACACTCAAAAATTTTGAATACAGAAATAATAATCCATAGGAAGATAACTATGCCTGTCGTATTTTTCTACATTATTATATTAGCATATCCTTGACATTAAAAGAAAAATAAATGTTTTCTTTTTGTTTTGATTTTCAATGAGTAGAAAATTATATTTTTTACTGGTAGCACCAAATACCTAAATGAGTATATATTTCTCTTTTCTCATAATATGGCGCCGCCGTGTAAATTATTGTTCATGATTGGTTATGTTTGTTTTGCTTGTGTCTTTTACTAAGATTTTGCAAGTTTACGGTGTTGAGTTGAGATTAATGTCCTTCGTTTCTATGATGTGCAATGTGTTAGTCAATGAATCGTAGTGAAATACGAAATAGTGACTCTTAAAAACTACGCAGCAATGGCGGATAAAGAAAATAGAAAAAGTGTTCTAAGTGCAACAGCATACCAACCATTGACAACATTAAATTATTTAGGTTTCCGAAATTCGCAGTAAAGTATATTTTGCGGTACGTATACGATATACATATACACTATTTAATAAGTTCTAACCTTAAAGTAAATCTCTTGTCCAACTTATTGTTTCTCTTTTACCATTTAAAAACAAATTATTGGTTTATTAAACCATTGGACCTACTTTGATAAAATTTGTATTTAATAATTATATCTTTTGTTTTCAGCTGTAAATTATGGGCGAAATATTATATTCCTGCCCAAGAGCGGTATACTACTTTAGCTTTCCAGACAAAGCTACATAATAGGCACAGAATACTGTGTGAAAAACTTTTTCATGATGGTTAATTTAATGATGCAACCAAGAAAAAGCTCTTAAGAACTGCAGTCCCATGTGATGTAAGTAAAGTGTATAATGTATATGGTAATATGGTATGTATATAGTTTTCTTTAAGGATTACTCAGATATTTTATATGGGGATTACTATATTCAGGAGTGGACTTTAATAGACTGTAATGAAGATGATGATGATTATTCATATGACCATCATCTGGATCTAACATGGATGGACAGACCACATACAGTAGTTTGAATCCTGTTAATTCTTTCAACTAATTTAAATTGGATCGGACAAAGCATCCAAAGGATTGAAGTCTATAAAGTTGGCACAAGCCTTTCCTTACATTATTAAAAGTGCAACACACTGCATATTATTTTTAACAATCAAATTTTATTTTAAAACAACAACAAACCTTAAGAAAGTTCCGGCATCACAATATATGAATAATTACATTTGGTCCTAAACCTATCAAATTTAAAGGCACAACTTGTAAAACACAGTAGAAATACATGCATCAAATGGTTCTCAAACAATAGATAAACACAAGATTTCTTTTCACATAGTTATTGTATTTACTATCTTATTTTGTTATATTAATTGTAATAGTGGGTGTATTATAGAGCAAGTTGGATGAAGACGATCCATTCATTTATTTTGTATTGGTAAAAGGGTAATGTAGTGCCATGAGTAAGGACTGGTTTACTATGAAAGTAATGTCAATGAATATAATGTTAATTTAATTTTATATAATAATTTTATGATACTATAATTTATTTCTGTTTTTATTTATTTCCAGACTAACAAAGTGTATTCCCATTTTATTTTGTGGAATCACAAGCTGGTCCCTCGCAAATTATTGCTGCAAAACCACAAGCAGGATCTTCAAAAAGGACATCATATCCACTGAAGAACAACCACAAACATCAAAGCATAACACATAATGTTGAACCTGAAAAAGAAAGTACTCTATATGAAAATTTTTAAAATGAAATAAGGAATATTTTTGTAATCTTATATTTAATATGTTTTATAATTTTGAATTAAAATTATTCTATTTATAAGCTGCATTAATATATTGCATATAATATAGAGACAAAATTTTTAGTGTCAATTCATGGAAATTATTATTTGTGAATGTTGCACTTTGCACTTGTGTTTAGGCTTTGCACTTGTGTTTAGGAGCTTATTTATTAATTAACTTGTTTTTGATTAAAATATTGATATTTTGGTTATTGTAGACAATCATTGTGCATATTATCAATTCATCCATGATTGTAAATCTTATTTAAATTCTTTATCATTGTTTACTTAAGTAATTGAAATGTTGTAATCAATATTGATTTTCTTTTCATGTTTAAACCCATCAAATGTCTTTATAGAAAGAACTAAGCTGCTGGAGAAATTTTGTTTCTTAAGTTATGTATGTTTTTTATTTAATTTGCATTTTTATTTTGAATAAATAAATAGAAATTTTGTAATTTTTGTTCTTTTATTTAGCGCTGGGATAGGAAACCCAAAAATACCTCAAATAAAAAAAAAACAAAATAGACCACATTCAAATTTTCCCGCCACACGAGAAGTGGAGGCTGACGATAGATAGCGCTAGTAGTTATATATCTCATTTCTTAAATTTTGTATGAAGTTGTCGTTCTTCTCCGATAGGAGTAATAGTGTTCTGTGCTTAAGATTTATTAACTGTCTGGTTACGGCGCCTCTACACGTTGGCCAACACAGTGGCGAATGTAGTGGCCAATAGCATTGGCCAACGTGTAGACGGGGTGTTTGGGCTTCATTGGTATATATTGGAACGATGGCCCGCAAGTTGGCGCGAGATCCGTGTGGTGTCGGTTTTTTACAAAAGACCAAAGGATTGTTGGCAGAGTTTGGTCGCCGTGTCCACACGTTGGCCGCGAGTTTAGTTTGCTACAAGCTCCCAGAGTGATTACACGCATCTGATTAAAATTTTATATTCACGCTTTGTAGGGTGGATAACCCAATTACCAGCCTTTTTAGTGCCAATTTCAACTTTAAACATTCCTACTACTTTAATTAGCGCGATTTAATTATTTTTAAACATTTGTTTTAATCGATAAGCTATTTATAAAAAAAAATAATGGACATTTATTTACAATCAGATTATTACGAGAACAATTTTAAAATGAAAAAAAAAAGAAGTACGTCGTTTATACGTGGTAGAACCATGCAGTTATATTAGAAGTATGGTTGTAGCACGAATGGGTCGGTTCGACCGGGGAAGGACCACGCTCTCACAGAATATCAATGTAAAATAGTAGCTTAATGATGCTGTGTTTCGTATAGTGAGAGTAGAGAACCAGAGACACTTTTTAAAGGAAACGAGGTATTTCATCTTAGTCCTCACAGGTGACAACGCATCTGCATTTTGATTCGTAATCGAGGATAGATGTAGATGTCTATGGGCCACAGCAACCACTTACCATCAGGTGAACTGTGTTCTCGTTTGTCACTCTATCCTATATAAAAAAGCGTCGATTTCTTATAATTTAATCGTGCAAGTTTTCGAATCATCATCATCATTACAGCTCTTCACAAGTCCACTACTGAACATCCTCCTCCAAAGAATGCCGCAAAGCATGGTCCTGAGCCACTTTCCTTGTCATGAGTTTTTCATTTATGTTCTAAGTTGTAAGTAAGTGTAAGTCAGTGTTAATTATATTTATTGCTATTGTTTTTGTCTTTCTCAAAAAATAATTAAATTACCAAACAAATTATAAGGTGTTTTTTATATACATCAAATGTCTGATAGAAAAGCAAGTACATGTTTTGCTAAACTTTAAAAACAAAACCCAATTTTAAAACATAGACTAATAGATTATAACTCCTTTAACTTTAAAATAAGTTAAGTTCTAATTAATGGTATTTATTCCAGTTTCTGATGCATGTAAAGTATAAATAAAGCTAATCGAATATCGTATATCTATTTACAGCCCCATTAATATTCACTATTCTTTTATAATTATTTTAAAAAACGTTAGCCCCAGACTTGGATTTTCTCCTGTGTCGCGGAGGCTACTTACAAACATAAATTGCACAAGGACACACATCCAGACCCGAAACAATTATTTCTAGGGTATACAAATACTTGTTCCGTGCGGGATTCAAACCCGCGACCCCTGGCACAGCCACTCATTGCCAAGCCACTGCGCCACGGAGCCGTCGTCTAAAATAAAATTAAATAAAATAAATTCGTCCGCACATTGGCCCGAACCGAAGTAAACTGAACGACCTTCCAAGTCTAACGTGTGGACACCGTCACCAACTCTCGGTCAATATATTCGCCACTACATTCGCCACTGTGTTGGCCAACGTGTAGAGGCGACATTACACAAAGCTGTCAATTATTATAGGTAAAAATCATACATCTATCCCTCTCTGTACTTGTGAATTTTCTTTAGAAAAGAAGGATCAAATTCTTATTTATTTCGTATTAGTGCCGTAGGTCCCGTTAATGGTCGCTAACTGACTCTGGCCGCGTAACCAGCTAAATGTTCCTACAAAGGCTGTTTTAAACCTATTTTGTATTTTTTCTCAAGAACGGCTCAACAGTTTAAGATTAAATTTATATTAAAGTATTTGTTAAATCATAATCAAAATGTATTGTTTTTATTGTAATTTTGTTAAATATATTTCTTAAAATATAGTAAAACATAATTTGGACCCTTTACGCCACCCGAAGCTCCCCCGCTATGGCCCGTTAAGGATATTCACCATCACCAGTGTCAGTTTGACTCTTGGGACGGGTGGACTGTGCGCGCGTTATTTTCTAAAAAAAATATTAAAAAGTTCGCAATATTTCAAATCTATAAAAACAGATTTATTGTAAACAAAACGTACATAAGTAATATATGATAAAAAATAGGAATTAAGTTGATTTATGTTAATAAAATTGTTTTTAGTTTTAGTTTTGTATATAATCGTATCATAGAATAGACTAAGCTTGACAATGCCGAAATACAAAAGCAAGTCAAAAGTGAAGCGTGGCCAAGCTCTTCAAAACTATTGGTAAGTAAATTATCCTTGATATATTTTCTTTTGCGTAAACACTTATACAGGGTACGGCAGCGTTCCGAAAACTGTCGTGTTCCCTTCTATTGTATAGGTGCGGAATTTATTTAGCCGTAAATAAGCTTGGTACTACAAAAACGCCTAGCGAAAAAGTGTAAAATAATATGAACGTGACCATTTTTGGCTGGTCTGATGCTACAGTCCTGCACTCAGTCTCAATGTGGGATCTCAGTGACGGAACCACATAGAACCATCGTGTTTGTACTCATTTGAAAGGGCTCGCAGCTAACTAGCTGGCCGTGATGATTTCACTTACCTGATGCTGCATTCCGAAGTAGTCCGAAGGTGGGTACAGGATCTCAGTGACGGAACCACGTAGTACCATTGTTTTTGTACTCAATTTAAAGGGCTCGCAGCTACCTAGCTGGCTGTGATGATTTCATTTACCTGATGCTGCACTCCGAAGTAGTCCGAAGGTGGGTACAGGATCTCAGTGACGGAACCACGTAGAACCACCGTGTATGTACTCATTTTAAAGGGCTCGCAGCTACCTAGCTGTCTGTGGTAATTTCATTTACCTGATGCTGCACTCCGAAGTAGTCCGAAGGTGGGTACAGGATCTCAGTGACGAAATCACGTAGTACCATCGTTTTTGTGCTCATTTTAAAGGGCTCGCAGCTAACTAGCTGGCCGTGATGATTTCACTTACCTGATGCTGCACTCCGAAGTAGTCGGAAGGTGGGTACAGGATCTCAGTTGACTTTTTAGAATCTTGTTGAGATCTTTTTCAGGGAAGATATTTTCTTTTTCGGGAGCGCTTTTGTATTGAGGATTGTGTCTCATTCTATTCCTAGATACTCGATTCGCTGGCTCTGTAGAGATTTCTCCACATTAATTATCCAACTTAGTTTGACAAGAAACTGTACTGTCATTTTGGCGTCGTTTTGCACTTTCACTGGATCTTGGTTGGCAAGCAAGAAGTCGTCGAGGTACACAATAACTCTTATGTTCATCTGTCTTAAGAGCCTATACTACCTCAGCTCAAATTCTAATTTCGCCCCCACTTCCCCGCGCCATTCGTTCGCACACTGCTCGCGGTCACGCGGGAACACGAGGTCAAAGCGATTTTGTTAGAGGAAAATAAACTATAATCGGACGCGTAGTAAGTAATAAAATTATCAATCATAATTTACTATTAACTTGTCATTATATGAACATAAAATTATATATCGCAAATTTAATTTCATTGTACATACTAAGGGCTACTCAAACTAATATTCTAGTATAAGCTGACTCTTCATTGTACTGAAAGCCTATACAATGCAAGATCAGCTTATACTGGAAATTCCAAATACTGGAAGGATACGCCCATTGGTTTAGCAGGTAGTAAGTTTGCGTTTTGTAGTTTTCGCCGTGTATGTATGTAATGTGACAGCCGTTGGGTATGTAGTTATGTAGGTAGTAGGTCTATGCAAGTACCTACGTTTCCGAATGCATGATTGTAAGAATTCATGATATCTGTGAATAGGCTATTTATTTCGTGTCGAAGTTTGCGTCTTTAGAAATGTGTTCAGATAAGCACTTTACTGATCTAGTGCGTGAGTCGAGTTCGACTTTGAACGGCGCCGATCCCGGCCGCCCAGCTGATGAACAGCGATCTGTGCCGGAGACGGACCGTAAACATACCGTTTAGCTTTGAATAATAACACCCCGTTTCGTAAATTTGAACTTGATTCGTGTGGCAATAAAAATGTATAAGTAAAAATATGTTATTCAAATAAATTTCAAATTCACGGAAGTATTTCTACGGTACGACGGATCGATGTGTAAAGAGTAACATTTAGAAGCTTCTTTCATAGGCCTACAAGCTGACATACCACCAATATAGTACGTAAATAGGTACTAGGGTCCATTCCGAGACTCGAGTTTCAAAATTTAGAGGCTCGTGTTTTTTTTTTCGTGGACTCGAGACTATCTAGACTGATCCATCATTCAGTCCTCGCGTAGATACCTACTCAATTTATAAACCTAAAAGATTAGCATGAAATAAAATGTTATATGTAAATATGCATTTATTAAACAGTTTAATATGTACTTATATTCAGAATATACAATACAATTACAATAATAAAAAAAAATCCGTAAAAAAAAAGACAAAAAAAGAGGCTTCAACAAATTACGCGACACGCAATATTCATACGTAAGTACCCACTACAAATATCATATTACCGTTATAACAAAAAGTAATGCTTCCTAAACAAAAATAAACTCTCATCATAAATAACTAGGTAGATATGTAAAACACTACACGAGAGCGCGTCATTACTATGGTAATAATAAGAGATTTTTTTTTATTACAATATTTTAAAAGCACAGAATAAATAATAGTAGTACAGACTAAAAGTAAGTAGTATCAATATTTTTTGTCATGGGTGACATTTTCATGGTTTTCGAGGGTGTTGAAGCCGATAGTGCTGTCGAAATTTAAATCCAAGACGGCGGCTGCAATGGGTATTGATTTGTTCATCATGGGTGTCATTTTCATGGTTTTCGAGGGTGCTGAAGCCGATAGTGCTGTCGAAATGTAAATCCAAGGTGGCGGCTGCAATAGGTATAAATTTTTTCATCATGGGTGTCATTTTCATGGGTTTCGAGGGTGTTGAAGCCGATAGTGCTGTCGAAATGTAAATCCAAGATGGCGGCTGAATTAGGTATAAATTTTTTCATCATGGGTGTCATTTTCATTGGTTTTCGAGGGTGTTGAAGCCGATAGTGCTGTCGAAATGTATTTAAACTACTTTAAAAAATTCCGTATAATCATATATATGTTAATCATATATAATCATGTTATACGTAAATTTTTTAATGCGCTTAAGGCATGCCCAACTGGATTTACCAATTTATTTTACATATTATTGAAATGTACAATGGATTGCTTACATTGTTGTATATCTGTCATGTCGTAATTGTCGGTTCTTTCCTGCGTTTTTGGGACCTTGGCAAAATGAGAATTTATTGAATTATGTTTTCTTTTCTTGGGTTTTTCTTTGATTGTGGTCGGAGGACTTATTTTTCTCAAGGGCATATTACGTGTTTTTCGCGGATCCAACAATTCCGGCAGTAAAGATTCCAAGTAAAATGTTTTTAGTTTGGGAACCATATGATCATTCCACAGTCTTTGGTCGCATTGTATTATTTCTGTTTTTATCTGTTGATTTGAACTAACCCACACGGCAAAAAGACACTCTCTCCTTCCTGTAATATTTAACTGTCCTTGCACTTGGAAATACCAGTGATGTTTCTTATTGATCAACATTTGGCCATTATCATACTTCCAGAAAGTAATTTTCCTGTTTTTCACAGCATCTTCCAAGCTAGTTCTGTAGCCTGATACTGGACATTTTATTTCTACAATCCTATTGTCATCTATCACACCGTCAGGAGTTGCTCCTAAAAATGGATGGTTTTTATCGATGAATAGCCCACAGGGCATAATTTTAATGTTTTCTTGCTGCTCTAGTTGATTCAAAGCAATTTTTTCATTAATTTTACCATGTTTGATGGAGGTAACACCAGAGAGATCTTTTTGATACAGTAAACTTTTAACTATACTACCTGACGTCGTGCTCCTCTTGTTTATAATTTTGCCGAAATTGGAAGCCGTTAACAAATTCCTTCGTATTTCCATCCATTTACTACAATCACTCTGGAGGACTGTTTCCCTTTCAATATTAATTCTTTCTTCGTCAGATTTCTCCAAATTTGTTAAAAATGTTTTTTTCATTCTTTCTAAATCTTCTGTATGCAAATCAGGCTTCATACAATTTTGACCGTAATTTTCATCTTCAGCCCTTTTCTCTTTCTGTTGATAAACAAGCTTTCTGGGTTGCATTTTAGGCTTGGAACCGTTTCTTTTTAGTTTTCGCAATTCCAGGTATTTTGATTTTGACATTGGGCTCACACCAAGAATAGATCTTTGGAGCTTATACAAAGGTCTTTTTGTATTAAATGATACGACTGCCGTAGCGCATCTGGTCTGATATGAACGCCGAAGACAAAAGTTTATGCGTTTACCACCGATACACTTTGCAATTATGGCGTTAAACTGTTCACAACGATTGCTGTCCACGTCTTCAATAAGACTTCGTGCATTAGCTGCAATAGAGCAGACTATAAACTTTATTTGATTTTCTAACGCCGTATCTTTCAGTTTGACAGTGACATCTTCACTTGTTTTTTTGCTTTCGCAATAAAAATTCTGACAATTGGTATGACAACCGAAAGCATGATTATATGAATTGGAAATTGCTACATAAAGATCGTTTATTTGTTTTGAGCGGGTATCACTTGTTTTCTTCAGGTGTTTTATTGAAGAACAAATAACTTTTCTGATAGCCAGGATTCTTTGTGTATTCAGATACCTTCTATGCTGCAGTTTATATTTGGTATCTTTGGTAAGCGCTTGTAATTTATTACACAGGTTTCGTAATAAATGGTTTCTACACTCTATCTTTTCAACAGTGTAGTTAGGATATGGCCGGGCTGCTAAAATTTTAGAATAAGTGGAAGCGTCTCCATCAGCAACCATTTTGCCGTATATAAGACCATACATGTGCAAAGATTGTTTGAATCCTTCCACTAATATTTCCGATTCCATGTTTGTAGATGAACCAGTGTAATTTTTAAAACACATGTGCTCTGATGGTGTAGTTTGTTTATTCTTGGCGCGTACACATATGCAACAATATTTATTTTTTACGGCGAGATATAGCACTTCCCCAAACTTTTTACCTATGATTGCAGCAGCGCCTGATAACGAGGAATAGTTTTTCTTGTAGGTCCTCTTAGCCCAGCAACCATCAACGATCACGTCTATGACGGGGATTCCATCTGAATTGACTCTGCCTTCGTCCAATGCACTTTGCTTCTCACGAGCAGCCGCAGCTTCCATTTCAATTGTGGCTAACTTTTCCCATTCTTCACTAACTCGATTATCAATTTTCTTATAAAAAACTTCTGTCATAAACGGAACATTTATTGATGTAAATATTTCTTGCAATTGTGTATATCCTACACCTGTAATAGCAGCACTCGTTACTACGGCAGTATTTACATTCAAATTGTCGCTTGGACTAGGTTTGGACGTATGTGTAGTAAATTCAACATTACACATATTGCATTTGAATTTTAATTTTGAAATCAAACCTAACCTTTTCTCCCCTATCAACTCCAAATTATTTATACCGCAACCGAAGGCTGTTGAGTGGTTCGAAATTGTTTTTAATTCTTTTAGAAAATATTTAAGGTCTATGATTCTTCTTTCGTCTGATTCTTCATTGATTTCTGCATGATTTCTATCTGACGTGTGCTCTTCGTCTGGAAACCTACAACAGTAATACATATTATTACATAAACTATAAAGCAGACAATAATAATAATGCATGAATGTTTTGAAACAATAGTATATCTTTGAATAGCTCCGATACGTTCCCATGTCCAAATACCTTTCATATAATATGTCACTTTACCTACATTGCTAGCGCTGTAGCATGGTGCGGGGACAGATGTCAGATTATAGTATCAGGACAGACTAGGACAGAGACATTACACAATTAAATTTACATCATCTATACAAATACAAATCTACATCAAAAATCTTGTTTTCTTTATTATAATTTAAAATATATGTGTGATATTATTATCATAATATTATTAAATTTATTTTAAAATATGTATTTCATATAAAACATTTAAAAAAACATATTCAAAGCACAACCGATATTTATGGATATATTAGTGAAAAGGTACAGTTCGTCTAATGTCACTCACACTACACATATATACGCTATATACTATACCTAGTAACTTTTTAAAATTCCAAACCCCCTCTTCGGTGCCTTTTGCAGTGAAAATAAAAATATTTTTGAACTTTTCTCATTAGCAATAACAGTAGCCAAGCATTTTGTATATAACTGCTCCAAATTTCAAGTCGATAACATTAGTAGTTTCTGAAATATACGGCTGTGACAGACAGACAAAGTCACACCATAGGGGTTTCTTTTTTACCATTTTGGTACAGAACCCTAAAAACGTCGGATCGAGAATATCCTACTCATTTTTGAAGTCAGTAAAAATACGAGTACAATATTATCGATGCATTCATTTGTATTAGGTCTACCTTTGATTCTCATAAACCAAGTCTTCGCATTTAGGTAGGATACGAGTACTTATAGCATTGTAAAATTTTCATTCCAATAATGAAACATGGTTGAAAAGATTGAACCATGTTTCATTAAAATTTACATACATATATACATACATAGCATTACGCCATTATTCCCCGAAAGGGTAGATAGAGGTGCATAGTGCACCCACATTTCGCCATTTATGTTATAAGTCTCATGTAATAAAGTGCGAGCCTATTGCCACTAATCGAGCACAAATCCAGACTCCGGACTGGTACTGAGAAATTACTAATGGAAAAACCCAATACCATTTTGCCCGACCCAGGACTTCTCGCTCAGCAGTAGCGTTTGCGACCGCTAGACCAACGAGGCAGTTAGAGAAAGAAATACTAACAGGGATTCAAAATTTACTTACTTATTTATTTTATATGTATTTATTTATGTAAATACTTACTTGTCCGTACTGTCAATAGATAGCGACGAGTCCCCTTTTCCCTGTTCCAAATGGCCAGCCGCCGCCGCCGACAACGACGTGGGCACCGCCGGCGCGCCGCTCGAGTCGCTCGCGCCGCGTGCCGATCCGTCTTCGTGCAGTCCATTCTCTAATACCGTGGGCGCCGTTTTATTCGTCACATTCTCAAGCTCAATGAATGAAATGTTTGGTTTCTCTGCAAATGTATAGTCATAATAAAATAAAGTAACATACTATTCTCCAGACCAAATTTCGGTCACGGCGGCCTGCCTCAACGGAGACTAGCCATCGACGCAGGATAGCATTATAGTGCGCAAATGTATGCGCAAGCATAGGTGCACTCTCTATTCCCTCACCCTCATAATCCGATGAGACGGTAAACCGACACAACCGGAGAGAGATCAGGTGCAGGACCAACGGCTTTACGTGCATTCCGAGACAAGGAGGTGGGCCACCGCCAACTTCCTGACTCCGGGCAGCTACTGAAAATTTCTTGACGGTATCAGAAACTACGGGTAGTACCTCTCATAATACACCGGTTGATCTTTTATAAATTTCAACTTATTTACAAAAAAAATTTTGGCCCGACCCGGGATTCGAACCCAGGACCTCATCATCAGCAGTCGCACTACTACAACCACTAGACCAATGAGGCAGTCAAAGTAACATAACATAACCCACAACATTCAAAACCTATCCCTAACCCCACAGTGATACCTATTCCCTGTATCGTGGGTATCAGAAACTACGAGTGGTACCTATCATAACACCCCGATTGATCTTATATAAACATAAACAAACTTATGTAACAATAAAATTACAAAACGTTTTTGCAACACATCAAACGAATTTAAACTTTATCAACAGCCAGCAGCAACGTGACGTGACACTAGACATGAGCTTTATCTCGTTGCAATAAGGTTGAAACTCGAAAAATGATTCGCAAACCGATCCTTCGTGTTCGGCTCTATACATATTCGAAATACCTAAGAAGCTACGTAAACAAAAGAATAATTTGACGGCCTCCGTAGCGCAGTGGCTTAGCAATGAGTTGTTGCGCTGGGGGCCGCGGGTTCGAATCCCGCAGGGAACAAGTATTTGTATGGCCTACAAATAATTGTTCCGGGTCAGGGTGCTTGTCCTCGTGCAATTTATGTTTGTAAACTGCCTCCACGATACAGGAGAAAATCCTAGAGTGGGGGTAACGTTTTTTTTAAGAAAAAAAAATTAAAAATGAAAATTAAATTGATACCGTTATTTATATCGGTAGTTAGATAGGTACTTACTTTTTTTTCCTTCGTTCAAAATACGGAGTTGTTCTCTTAGACGTTTTTAATTGTTTTCTTTTTCCGAGAGTTTTCTTTTTGCCCATCTTTATTTACACTTTAAATATAGGTAATATATTTACACAAAACGTTTTAAACTCCTTTTTACAGTAACACCTACCACAATACAAAATAAAAATGTCGGAAATAAATAGTCATCTCTCCGTAATGTCGCCAAACATAGGTTCGTCCCGTAATAGATGCCGCAGCAGAATGATTGAACAAATTGAAAAGGATAGCGCTATTGCTACCACGTACAAAACAAGAGACAGAAAGAGAGTGTGCTCGTTTAGAATTAAATAACGCAAGCGCCAAATCACATAATTGCTAATTACGAGAAGACCACGTAGAAAAATAAAAAAATAAATCGTCACGATTTGAGATAACATTATTATCTATCTATTAGCTAAAAATCATCATTCAATTCCATAAGGTTTCAGAGATCTAACTAAAAATAAGTGCAAAGCGAGGGTTTTTCATATTTTTTTTTATCGAGAATTTTTTATCGAATCGTGTTTTTGCTTCAACAGATTTGAAGATTATAAGTCCAGGTTTAATGTGTTCAAATAGCAAACTGTTAGGTCTTACAGATACCGAGATCCAGATTGATCAATATCACCAAAACAGCATTATGCGGCCTCTTAAGCGTGATGCTATCCAATTTGACACTCTTGCGAAGGTTAGAGGTGCCGTTGATAGGCCGAACGGTAAACATGTAAATTGTAGAACTTTGTTTTGGTGAACTATTGACAGGAATCTTCGATGACGATTGGTTATTGGGATGTGAAAGTGTGCCTGAGAAATGTCTATTTTCATGAAAAAATCTCCTTTTTGTAAGAAATGAGGTACTTTGAAGTGGTTTAACAACCGGAATTTCTTCGGGGTAAGGTATCTGTTTAGGCCTTTCAGATTGATTATCGGTCGTACTTTGCCGTTGTGTTTTGGAACTGGATACATTGTTGACAAGAAACCTGTCTGAATCGAGGAATTTTCTCTTACCTTCTGCTGTATTTAGGTTCGGATCTCTGAATCTAAATTTTTTGTTTCGAACTTTATAAGTATCTTCGGGTGAAAAAGCATTAGCGGGGGCTTTTTGACAAAGGGGATAGTGTATCCTTTTATTATTTGTAAGATGCTTAATGGCGCGCCCTCTCTCTTCCAGACCTCTACAAATTGCAAGAGTCGCCCCCCGCTGAAAACGTCATTCATTCCTATTTATTTTTGAGGTATGATTCTTAGAAGAGAGGGTTGGCTTTGATCTTTATTTTTGGTGCCGAACGGACGCTTGAAGGTTTCGTACGTTTTACTGGTATTTGATTTCCGCGGTCGGTTGAATGATTTCGACGTTTTTGAGATTTTATAAGTTGGTCTAGTTTGACGTGCGGGTGGTGTTGCATTGTAGTTTTTAGGTTGCAAGGGTTTTCTATAGTGGATGCAAAAAACGTTTGGTGAGGTGGCTGTTTCAGTAGTTCTGCTAGTCGTGTTTCGCAGAAAAGTTAGGTGGTTGACGGGAGAATTGCACCAAGAAGAGTTGCTTGATATTCTTCTTTTGGAATGAACCCATTCCTTCTTTGTTTGATAATCTCTGCTCTTCTCCCGCACATGTACTGAAGATCATAAGTAAGCAGATCATTCGAAAGAGATTTGAAAGGTGTATCCGTCGATATTTTTCAAGTCTTGTTTCATAGCTGGGTGTTTGATAGCTAGATCTTTCAGCGTGTTAGTTAGTGCCTCCTGTTGAAACAGAAGATCATGGGAAATTGTGCCCAGAGTGTAGTCCATTCGAACTAATTGATCTTGATTGGAAGGGGTCCATAGGTCGTGAGGAAAGGGTTGACCTTTAAAGGACCCAAGACCGGGCTAGCATGCAATTTCTTCTGAACCTCAGCATATCGAATCTGACTAAATGATATATCGCCTTAATGTTGACACTCAGTACCCTGTATGGCAATGTGCTGGCTCGGGGTTGGTATCAGAGGGTCTTGTTGTCTTGTAGTAGGGGTCCAGTCGAAGTCTTCATTTACTAAAGATGTTGGAGGTTCCCAAGGCTTTGGTGATGACACTGAAAGCTGAGGTGCATTTACCTCATCTTTTGATGAAGTTGAGACCATCTCCGAGCCCGAATACGAGTGATCTTCTCGTTGAAAACTCTTAATAAATTGTTCCAGCATATTTTCCAATTTACGCTGGCCTTGCTCCTATTTGTCCAGTCGACTTGGCTTTTTGGACCTACTAGATGAAGTTCTTGTAGGAGGAACTGATATTTCATCCTCAGAGTGTTCAGATTGCGCTGCCAGTTCCCTATTTGCCTCCTCTCTACTTTTGAGGAGTGGTCTCATGTCAGAGATGGAGGCTATTATCAGTTCATTCTGGACTGCTGAACCTCGTACTTTTGCAGCCAGAGACATTGGATGTATAACACAGTGGCCATTTCAAAAGTTTTAATTTTATATCTCTATAAGTTTTCTCCTTTAGCGATGTGCACTCAGGAGAAAAAGCTCTGGCAAGTCCAACAGTGGCAAGGGCAAATCTAATTTTGTTAAGAATTTGGGGATCAAATTCGTTTCCCAATAAGTCTTCCTTATCAAGGTCTCTAATTTTCCATTCTTTCCAACGCAATGGTAAATAACCATCAATTAGTTTTATTATCCTCTTCAAGAAAATACTATCCTCAGGGTCATTTGCTTCCCAGCCGAGTAGAGACTCGAGCGTGCGCTTCTCTGCAGAGGATGCCGCCTAAAACAAGTAAACAACGATACTTTAGAATATTATTCCGTTAGCTTAAGCCTTCGTGATAAGATAGAAATGGTCATATAATTCAGTAAGTATTGATAAGTATAGTTCGTATATAATATTGATTCGTACGGCTCAAAAGTTTGACCCTTACGGCTCGCAAGTTTGGTCCACATGGCTCACAGAATTGATCCGTGTGGCCTGTGAGTTTGACCCGTACGGCTCGTGAAATTGGCCAGTATGGCCCACCAGATTGACCCGTACGGCCCACCAAATTGACCCGTACGGCTCGTAGTTTCGGCCCGTACAGTCCACATATTTGAGTCTTAAATAGTTACAGGTTGTAAGGTTATATCCACAAGCTTACTAGATCAAATCGTAGGATTCGCTAGATTAGGATAAGCAGATCGCAAATCTGGGCTGTGTGGAACGCAGATTAGGAATTTGGTATATGACATAACTTAATCCTCGAACGAGGAGAGTGAGCCAAACAATAATACGATTACTAAAATTATATAAAAACATTGTATAGTCTGTGTGGAGGACATTTATACAATATTATTCAGATAAAAACTAGAATAAAAATGAACATAAGTAAATAAAATATTACAAGCACTAACAAATATGTGATTAACTTACCATGATATAAAGTCAATCCGTAAACAAACACAACACTGTCGATCACAAAGTTAATAAGTATTATGATCTCGAACGAACACTCGCCGTTAATTTGCGCAGCAAAGTGACACGCGTGCATCGCGGGTCAATTGAAAGCGTACTAACTCTCTAGTATATACACAGTAATCTATGGTACTGACGAACACCGCGTTCTCACCGCCCGCGCACCCCTGGAAGTGTACGGGGAGCGAGTATAGAGTGCGGCTAGACGGCACGGGGAGCTATGCATCCTATTCACTTACCTTTATATATACAAGTACACTGGACTGGCTATACCGTAGACAGAGAAACCTATAGACACCGCCATAGCGTGTCGCAGAAAGAGACAAAAAAAATACGTCACTGTATTTAGGGTTACAAGTGTGAGGAAAAATTTAACCCACAATGAGCTATAAAATTAGAAATTAGTACGTGAAGTAAGCCTGAAAGGGAACACTGCTATTAACGATTATCATTGGTATGTATTGTAGTTGATGGAGAGCTAAGTGGACTGTATTTGACTAATTATTTATTATAATTTACTTTTGTGAAGAAAGAAGAAACTAAAAAATTGTGATATCTATCTGACTAATAAACTTAAAGAAACTATTGTGTAAACGAATGAGAGCTAATTGGACTGTGTTTATTTAGGTTGTGTTTAAATCTTGAAGAAAGAAAATACTGAACTAACTGTTACCAGCCCTCTGTCACTCTTGCTACCTGCGTGAAATAATTACCTACAATCGCGAGGCATACAGGGTAGGCCTCTGTCACTCTTGCAACCGGCGTGAAATAATTACCTAAAATCGCGATTTGGGTGAATTTGGGTGTAATACGCAGTCGGGGCTAGCGCGTTGTAGGCGATTGATGTATTTTTAACGCTGTTTACGTAAATAGTTTTTTGTAAACACTTGTAATTTTTTCAGCGTTTAGTATTTAATTGTAGGATAAAATAGTTCAAAAAAATTAATGTGATTTAAAAATAATATATGTGTATGGCAAAACTTCGAACCTACTATAATTGTTGCGTACGACGACTTTCAAATAATTTGTGGGTACGATACGCGCGCCACCTAGTGTAAGTTAATTGTACTATACCTTCGCGCAAGTACAAGCAAAAAAATTACAAAGTTTTAGCGCAATCAGTTAAATAATGTGGCAGACGGCGCGTAAAATACGAACAAACAAACATTAATTTTTTAGGGTTAAGTGCTCGTAGTTTTTATGTAACAGATTATATTTTAAACGACAGACAAAAAAAGCGGCTACTGCAGCCCATGGGCATCTGCAACAAACATCAAGCACAACAGGCTACAAATTCGTTGTCACCTCTGAGGACTAAGATGGAATTCCTCACAGCCTGTAAATATACCGGCTCTCTATCTCCTCCAGACCGGAACACAGTAGGGCCAGTACTGTTTGGTGACAGAAATCAATAAGACAGTGGTTTGCAGCTAGACGGAATTGTAGGCGGAGGTCTTACATGAATTTTATTCAGAACCCCGCGACTTCACCCGCGTGGATTTTTTTTGCGCGGAGCCCTAAAATAAAAATAGCCTAAGTTACTCCTTAATATCAACAAATTTTCGTCCTTATAACATCAAGTCCCATCCAAATCGGTTCAAAGGTATTTACGTGATGCGTGTTCAGACAGACGTCGTGTTAGAGTTTTATTTTAGTATAGAAGATAGATAGATATACACATATAACATAAACACTCACGCCTGTCACCCAGAGAGGTAGGCAGTGACTACGGACTTCCATTTGGCACGATCCTGACATATCTCTCTCGTCGCCTTTACATCCAAATATCTACGCGTTCACTCTCGTTGGTCAAGAGTACTTCTAATGTAGCTCATTTTCAAAATATCAATGTCAACAGTATTGACTAAATTGGCGATATTTTGATTATTTAGTCAATACTATTGACTAAATTGGCTATATTGTCTAGGGCGTCCCTTACCGACTCCGAAGTTCACATCGCTTTGTCACTCTTTCCTCATTCATTCTTTCTACATGACCAAACCACCAAAGCATTCATTTCTTAATCTTGGTCACAACATCATCATCTGATGTTGATGAGATAGATATAGTATAATTTGTTATTCTCGTTATATTTCTCTTATCAATTAGTAGAGGTTTATTGATTTTTTTCAATTCTGTATAATTTTTTAAGTTACCTAAGGATAATGAAAGGTAAGTATATTAATTTCATTTTTTTGTCAAATAAATAATTATAGCAAAAAGAATTAAGTAATAATTTAAATACAGAAGTAATACCTAAGTACTTTATTACGTAGGTAACGTATGAAATTTACTTAGGTAAATTGAAGTAGGCAACTTACATGTCTTTTGTAATTAAAATATTTTAAGTTATCACAAAGCACTGAAATTAAACTTTGCTTACAAGATTTTTAATACAATCACATTTCATTTAGGAATCGTATTTCAGGTTCATTTGTTGTTTACACTACCTACCTACCTAAATAGATGAAATAATGAAAGCAATGAAAAGCATGAAAGCAGGTAAGGCTGCCGGATATGATAGAGTTTCACTCGAAATGCTAAGGGCTGGAGAGGAAGTGGTGGCAGGCCTGCTGCGCACCTTGTTTAATTTATGCTGGGAACTGAAACGGGTACCGGGAGACTGGTGCAAAGCCGTGATAGTCCCAGTATATAAGGGAAAAGGGTCGCAGCAGGACTGTAAAAACTACCGCGGTATCAGCCTTCTTAGCATCGTGGGAAAACTGTATGCCAAGGTACTAATTGAAAGGGTCATGAAAGAAACCGATGGAAAAATTTGGGATGTGCAAGCGGGATTTAGAAAGGGAACGGGATGTACAGATCAAGTCTTCTCCATGCGCATGATCGCGGAGAAGTTTTTGGCCAAAAACCAAAAGGTTTTTTGTGCGTTCATGGACTTGGAGAAGGCCTATGACAGAGTGGGTTGAGCGCTGGCTTGATACAGGCATTGGAATCTCTTTATAGGGACTCTAGTGCTTGTGTTAGGATCAACGGGGTCTACTCGGACTGGTTTGGCATCCATAAAGGTGTCAGACAGGGCTGTGTGGCTTCCCCGTGGTTGTTCAACCTATTTATGGTCAGTTGTTTGCAAAATTTGAAAGTTGAAGAATGCGGATTAAGAATGGGTGAGTTAACCATCAAATGCCTTTTGTACGCCGATGATCAAGTTATTCTTGCGTCGTCGGCGGCTGAGTTGCAAATGATGGTTACATTAATGAACAGATCATTAAAAGAAAGGGGTATGAAAGTGAACGCAAGTAAGACAAAAGTTATGGTTTTTGAAAGAGATGAAAGTAAAACGATATGTGAAATAAGAATAGAAGGGGAGTTGATCGAGCAAGTATATGAGTTTGTATATTTGGGTTGCGTATTTAGCAGGGATGGGGGATATGATAAGGATATAGAACGACGAGTGAACGCAGGAAACAGAGTAAATGGAGCCCTGCACTCTATTGTGAAGAGTCAAAATGTGTCAAAAAAGGCACGTATGGCAATTCACAATGCTGTGTTGGTCCCTACTTTAACGTATGGTAGTGAAAGTTGGGTATGGCAGAAGAAGCACGAGAGTAGAATAAATGCAGTAGAAATGCGGTCGTTAAGGAGTATGTTAGGGCTGAATCTGAATGACAGGGTGAAAAATTGTGTGATAAGAGAAGAGTGTGGTTTGCAAGATGATGTAGTGACCAGGATTAAGAAAGGAATGCTTCGGTGGTTTGGTCATGTGGAAAGAATGGATGAGGAAAGAGTGACAAAGAAAATTTATGTTGCAGAAGTGAATGGGAGAGTCGGAAAGGGACGTCCTAGGCGAAAATTTATCGACCAAATTGGCGATTTATTGAAAACGGGCCAAATTAGGAGTACCCTTAACCGACGAGCATGCATGCGTAGGTGTATGGATGTGAAGGAGGCGAGAGAGGTGTGTCAGGATCGTGCCAAATGGAAGTCTGTAGTCTCTGCCTACCCCTCTGGATGACAGGCGTGAGTGTTTATGTATGTTATGTATGTACTACCTACCTATTTCTTTCGGGAGATTTATTAAATCGCAATTCGCGACGAGTGATATATGTTCATTCGATCAGTCAGAATACCTTATCTATTTTACTTAACATTTCGCAACGTATGAATGAATCTCTTTACTGCACACAAAATATAAATTTATGTACAATTAGGTGACCTCATCGCTTAACGGTGATCTCTTCCAGGCAAACCTTGGTAACGTACGAGTAGCAAGCACTACATATTATTTATTCTATGCTTTGGTGAAGGAGATCCGCAAATAGAAGTTTGCATAAATAATAGATAAATGAGCATATATACATATTATAAGCTTAATAAGTACTTACATGTGCTTTTAATATGGTGCAATATCACTATATGATTTTTCTGTGCGGATATTATTGCCTGCTCCTATATTCCACTTAATTAAATGTGGAATCAAATCACCTTCGAAAATTAGCTTGGAATTGGAGAGGTTAGTGATTCTTATTAATACCTATGCTACATACAAATTGTTCTTGAGTATTGAGTTGTTCTTGAAATTTATGGTATTCACTGCGATTGCGCCTGGTGAATGGCGATGAAGCAGTCATAGATGAAAGCGGGCTAACATTGCAGTTTTTAATATTAAACCGTATAAATAAAAATAAACACAAATAGTTTTCAAGAAATTATAAACTTCTAAATTGTCGCTGTCAGAAATCGAACCCGGGATTTCCCGGATTCCACCACAGCGCTGATTAACAAATCAATTGCTTCAATGCGCTAAATCCTTTTCAATTTGACGACAAAGTTTAAAAGAAAGGGAGCGTTTTAGTATTATGTAAGCAAGCTCGGGGCTTTAAATTTTTTCTTACCTTTGCTGACAAATGGAGCGGGGGGGGAACATATATTAAAAATCTTACGTAAAATAAAGAAATATAAAACAATAAAAATATTAATACAACAATATTTATAAATAAAATTAATAATAGGTACTATTTTTATTATTTCTAGTTAGTACACTGAATGAATATCTTTTCATATTTTTTACCAAAAATAAATCGATGACTCTTCCGATACTCCATGTCCATTTTTTCCTTTTTATTATTTACTAAAATTATATATAAGATTTAAAGTTTTTTCAACTCTTAAATTTAATAACCGGCCAGAGAGAGAGAGAGAGAGAGAGAGAGAGAGAGAGAGAGACAGAAAAAATTTATAAAACATTATATTAAAGTAAAACAATTGTGAATTAAATAAATTATTAATGTTATACATACTGTATTTTTACTCTTTCTTGACACCTCTAAGTAACCTCGGAAAAACAGCCGTGATGTGAGAATGAGAAAAGGTGCAAAGTAAAGAATTATGTAGGCTATTAAACGTCGGCAAGCTGTCAACATCAAAAGAGTGAAACTTCTGTACGTAGTACTATTATTTATTCTGTGCCCAGGGTAACATACGCAGTCGGGGCTAGCGCGTTGTAAGCGATTGAATGTTTGTTTTGAGGATTTTTCAACGCTGTTTACGTTAATAGTTTTTTGTAAATACTTGTTGAAATAGTCTTTGTTTAGTGTTATATATATTATTTTACCTATTTGATAAATTGTAGCGGAAAAACGTCGTTCCTACTACAATTTTTACGTGGATGGATGCTAAATGCCCAAAAAAAGGTTCAGATATATCATTCCTTAAAATTACCGAAGGATTTTAGAAGGAAGTTATGAAAGGTGAATTTATTTCATTATTTTGTTGGATAGGTACTTATAGCAAAAAAAGAATTAAGTAATAATTTATCCACACAAGTAATACGTACTTTATTACAAAACTTAGTTGAAATTTACTTCACTATCCAAGTATCTACATACTTACATACCTATATATGTCTTTTGTAATTAAAATATTTTAAGTTATAATAACACAAAACACTGAAATTAAAACTTTGTTTTCTAACAAGATTATTAACTAAGATTACTAACTATATACGATCACATTTCTGTTAGCAATCGTATCTCAGGTTTATTTGTTGTGGCCTTGCTAGTTGCATGCGTTGAGCATCGTAGAAATCACATAGGTGCGAAAATATGGTCAGTCGATCAGTTAGAATAGGTACTTCACCTAAGTAACTTAATTAACATTTCGCAATGTTTTTTTTAACTCTTTTTTGATAGTCCTTAATAACCACGAAGTCCGCCATGGCGTAGGAAGGGGAAAAGATGCAAAGTAATATGGACGCTCGTGCGCAGCGCTAAAATTTTATTTAGCTTGCGTGCGTGATTTATCTGATTAATAATAACTATGTAGGCTATTAAACGTCTGCAAGCAGTCGACATCAAAGGAGTGCAACAAAATTATTTATTCTGTGCTGTTACTGTGATATATATAAGACTAATTATTTACTGAGAGAATTTATTGCTATTTTAAACTGCTAGGGGTTGAGTTAAATTAAAGATTGTACAAAAAACAGAAGTAAATTTATTAAACTATTTACACAATGCGGCAGTCTTACAAGCTATCACTAATCTGACGTCCAATGTGACCTAATAGGGAGCCTGAAGTGTCTTCTTGCTTGTTGTTCTTGAGTTTATGTAAGCACTCGCGGTCGCGGGGGCCTCGCTCTGATGCAGGGTGAAGGAGACGTGTCGTTGCGGGATGAGGTACGCGGGGTGATGGGCGGTTGCTCACTCGCCGTCCGTAACATATTGCTATTTATTATTGCTAAGGACTGTATTAATTAAAAGGTAGTACGATGAACTAACATTAATTTATTAGAGAGGAGCTTGAGGGATCTTTTTTTCTTCTGGAGCGCTAGTCTGCCGCGAATGCCGACGCCGGTTTTTTTTTACGCCCAGAAGCTATTTAAAGGGCTACCCTCCGGGAAGCGGGGGAGGGAGGTGGTGAATGCTCTTAGCATACCACGCAGCCGGCTGCGTGGTTATGTGGGACTCACTATGAAAACCTAAGTGCCTACCCACTAAACACCACCTTGGACAGAAGACTCGGCCTGAGCCGCCAAGAGGCAGTCCAGGTCGGCCGAAAGCTTGTTGGAGGGGGGGGGGCCGAGAGAGAGTTTCTCGGTCTGCGAACTCGATAGCGAGAAGGAGTGGGGTTGCATAGGAAGCTGCCTTACGAATAAGATGATTTAGTGAGACTCTGAGACTTTGAAGAAGTTCTAAGAGAGTGATTTTAGAAATTGTCGGATTGTGGGGAACTCTAATTCTCGGTGAAAGTCAGCGTTTCGGATGAACCAGGGCGCGTTCGTAGTTCTACGACAAAATAGTTTTGAACTACCTGAAGTTCATTTAGAATGTTAGGTTTAGCACGGTCATATTTGAAGCCTGTGTCGTAACAGGTTTTGGAGAGTCTGGTGAATTGACCCTGGTCTCTGAGGAAGGAATCACCCTTCTCGGGGGTTATTGTCTTCCATAAATTCCTTAATATTATAATAACCATTTTTATACAAACTTAGTTCAACAAAGTTTTAGAACTTTGATTGATAGTTCAAGTGAGGAATTTATTTACTTTAAACTGAGTGGATTCTACATACTATTATGTAGGTCGCCCAGGTAATTATATCTAAAAGTAAAATTGCAGACATTATAAGTTCCACTTTCGGGCAAAGGTCTCGACTGAACTGCCCCAATAAGTGTGTGCGTACTTAAAAAATATTTGAAAAAACAAATGATTTTTTAAAAAAAAATTAAGTTTCTAAGGCATGCGGGTTTCCTCACGATGTTTTCCTTCATCGCTGTGTGGTTCAGCGTTTGGTAAATCAGCGGCTATAATTGCAATAAACGATTTTATTAAAGCCAGGGGGATCGAACCCGAATTGCTCGGGTACTATGAAATTGACAGCAAGTGTTTAGCTACTACGGCTCTCTTCCATATCAGACATGAGCAATGGAGCATAGCTTCTCAATATACAATTAAATTTAGTTACGTTACTAAAAATATCAACAAGAAGTGTAAAATTAAAATTTTTGCATTCATATAAATTTGATATAAACAAAACGAGGACATCATCAATGTCAATTAAATACGCATTATTAAGGATAACTCAAAGTCAGATCTTGATCAAACTTATATGAGATCACAAGAGAAGCACCAGCTTTCAAATAAAAAAAGAATTATAAAAATCGTTAGAATAATATTCTGAGGTAACACACATAAAAAAAGATACGGTCGAATTGACTACAACATCAAATTTTGTATATTTTCTGGGAATTTGTGGTAAAAGCGTATACATCGGCCTAAGAATAAATTACTGACTCGGTGGAGTCGAGTATTTCCTTTAAACAAAACAAGCTTCGTATGAAGGTTCCTAATTTTTTGCTTGGGTTCAAATGCTTTTGTGGCGTGATGATATACACAGTTCAAAATAGTGCATGGAAATTGCCTTAATAAGTAAACCTTTGTGGTTTCCAATAAAAGGTTGACTTTCAAAATGATTTGTCGTAAATACATCCTGGCATCGTTTGAAAGTAGTTAAAATAAGTTTCGGTAATAGATTTTTTTCTGCAAAGAAAGATACTTCTTATGTGAATGTATCTTAAATATTCTTTCTGCCAACGTACATACTTTAATAACATCGCGTGAAGGATAAATAAGGCCGCCTTTATCTTTTTTAAATATAAGACCTAAATATTTGTCGCTAATAAGAGCTAGCAGACAATCTTCACATTTTAGAGTTTTTCTTAATTTTCTAACTACAAACCCACCGATATATGAAATAATTTCTTCAGTATAGGTGGTCAGTTTTGAAGGGTTAAAAATATAATCGTGGTCATCATCGACCAAGAAATTATTATTAGGGGGGAAAATCCTTAATCGAGTCTTCGAGATCTTGAGTGCAGTACATATTAATTTTATTTTCGTATCGCACTTTTTGAGAGTTAAAATTTTTATATCCTCTAGAGGTATACAGTTTGTTGACTCAATACCTTTTATTTCCCCGTGTATCACTAGTCTTTTGTAGGCGCTTTGAAATTGAAAGGCTGTTGGATTGTTGTTATAGCCGCCCTTTGATCGTATCGACCTGAAGAAGCACTCCAGGTGATCTTGGCTAAGTTTTTATATAGGCAAAAAATTAAGTATACCCGTTACTATGATATCAGCATACAATTTTTTAAGA